GTTGTGGCTTTTTTCTTTTTCTTATAAAAAAAAAAAAGAAAAGTTTTTTCTTTTTGTTTTTTTTGTTTGTTTTTAAATTGTTTTATTCCTCTTGAGGCTCTTTGTGTATTTCAAAAAAAATTAAAATAAAATAAAAAAAAACAAAAATGCAACTCCCTCCCCCCCACCCTAAAACTCTTAAAATCTTAAATATGAAACTAGTGTTTTGCTTTCTCATTAAAATACAGAAAAATGTTTGATACAATACTATGTCGTACAAATGCAGTTGAGTGTTTAGGCCCCAAGCAGGCCTGAAACAGTCCCTGAAGTTTTGAGTATTATTAGTTATTCATTATTACTGTCACAATTTGGAAAATGTTGTTTATACTCAATCTATGGAACACAACTTTACACAGCTACTTGAAAAAAGAACAAAATTTCCTTTTGTACAATACTCTTGCTGTACACAGACTTTATGTCGTATTGTTTAAGTGCTGGGGAGGGGATAAAGTAAAAAAAAGATGCTCCGAAAAAAGATAGCATTGGGTCCTGAAACTTCAACATGATTCTCAAGGCTTAAGAAGCAAATGAAGAGGGGGCCCAGGGGTGGGGGGAGAGGCCACATCACCCACACGCATGCTTGTAAAAATGGAATTAAGTGAGGGGGGAGAGCAGGTTATTTGCCCGCTGAGGAGCTCACTGCTTCCTCGTGCCTTGGGCTGCTCCGTGGCTTGGCTCGGTCGGTCACAGCTTGAGCTGCTGTCCCAAGGGTGGCTTCTGCACAGACACCCACCTGCTGTCCCCATTGCTGGCCATGTGCCACAGCAGTGGCAGACCCATCTCACCAAACTGCAGGGCCATAAGTGAACGGGGGAAACCCACATCCAAAACCCACAGCAGGGGACAGGGCTCATCCCCGGCCATGCCCTTCTCACTAAGGGAACTAATAATTGTTTTGAAAATCTGGACTCGATGGGTCCTTAGCCAGCTGGCAGCAGGGGGAGCCTGCTCTGGCCGCGGCCTAAGCCAGCGTGGGATTCAGCTCAGGTTTAGGATGGTTGGAGGGAAGGTAAAGGCAGGGTGAAAGTGCCTAGGAACTAATCTTGCACGGCTGTCCCTGGGCCCTGCTGAGACTTGCTCTGAGAAAAAGGTAGATGGCAAGGCCTTCCCTGTCCTCCCCAGAGGCTATTTTGGGGACATTCTCGGGGGGGGTTGGCAAGGAATCAAGGAGAAAAGAATTCAATATATATTCAAAATGTGGAAGTGCTAAAGACACTAAAAACCCACGTAACCCCCCAAAAGAAAACAGCACATCTCAGCACAATTAGAAAAAAACAAAAGTCCATGCTCCCCTCTCACAGCTCACAGCTCGCAGGCGTCCGGGAGCAAGCAGGCAATGGCACTGCACACTGGACACTGGAGCGCAGTGGGCGAGAGGGGCGAGCGTGTTCCCTGTAATGTGACACCAGGCCAAGGCTCAGCGCCTTTGGGTTGTCTATTGCTTGGAGCCTGGATTCCAGTTTCCTCAGTTCATTCAATTGACCCAAAAACTTCTTATGGACTAGTCTACCTTAACAAAAAAAACCCAAAAAACAAACAAACAAAAAAAACCCAATAGAAAATGAAGCTTATATTTCTTTGTTTTAGTCAAACATGCTCACTTTTTTCTTTTTTTTTCTTTTTTGGTCGAAACTTAAAAAAATTGGTTTTGTTTTTTTAAAAAAGACAAAACGTGAGGTTTGGTAAACCTTACGCATAGAGACTATACTGGTTTGAGTGGAAAAAAAAAAAAAACAAATGAAAAAACACAAGTGTAAACCTTACTCAATTCAGAAGGGATGAATCTACTGGCTGTGAATTTTTACCACCACAGTCACGGGAGGCTTGAAATAAGCCATAGTTTTTCCACAAGGTCACGCCAACAAAGTCAAGAGGGCCAAGAATCGGTGGGCAAGTTCTCTGTCTTCTCTCCTAAACCAATAGCAGCTGTTGGCTGTGATGTCTTATGCAGATGTTGCAAGAACATTTTGTTTCTTTTTCTTTTCATTTTTCTTTTTTTTTTTTTTTGTGTGCGTGTGTTAAATTGTCTAAAAGGGAGGATATGAAACACTTTGGTTTGCTTTTTCCTCCTCTCCCCCACCTTATTGCACTCTGGATTCTAGTAAATTATAGGCTGCTATGCCCTCACCCTCTGTCCTGCCAGGTGTTTACAGACTGACCCAGATGTGCTGGGGGAGTGGAAGATGAGGGGGACATTTTCCCCTCCCCATAGTATCCAGATTCAATAAACAAAGCTGGAAAGGGCCCAAAAAGCTCAGAGAAGTTTTCTTCTTTTATCTAAAAGTGACTACGAACAGCCAAGAGACTGTAAATGAGCCAGTCCAAGCAGCCAGCAGAGCCTCTGGCTCACTGTATTTTTTGCTTTGTCTTTGGCCGAGCTTTGCTTTAACATTTCTCTAGCTGACTTTTGATGGAAGGACGGGGTGGTAAAAATCCCTTAACTTTAATTTAGCTTCTACTTTTATACATTTAATTACTTACAATAAGAGAAAAAAAATGCCTAATCTTTCACTAACCATCTTATTGTTCTCATGAATTCAAGAGGTAGCAAAGGTAACAAGTCTGTCCACACAGACTCGCTCTTTAGTGAGGGAGGAAAGCTAAAAACATACACACACACAAAAAATAAAATAAAAAATAATAAAAAAGTACCTAAGGAACTTGTAGCAAGTCCATCAAACCCCAAACCCCCTCCCCGCCCACCCACCCTAGAATTAACCTCAGACCTTCCAGTTCAAACATTCACATAAACAATGGTTTTTCCTTTAATAAATAAAGTACCTTTAAGCAAAGAATATTCATACGAAACTACTAGAAAAGTAAAGATGACCCCCTGCTCACTGAAAGAAATTCCCAGGGCATCCAGTCCCTGTTCAGTCATGGGTAAGGCAGAAGAGGTTTGTGTGTTTTGTGAGAAAAGGTGGCGTGTGGTTACGTGTGCCAAGGATAAAGGTCAAAACCAAAAGAAGGAGGGATGGTGAGGAGGCATCGCCATTTCTTTAAGTGAAGCACTCTAGCTGGTGCACACCTAGGTAGACTGCTCTCCCCACCATCACCAGCCCAGGGGAAGGGTGGTGGGTTCCACCACGGCTATGGCTTTCCCACAGTATCCAAAGGGGCTGCCAACCCTGTGAGATGGTCCACAGACACAGCTTCCGCGCTTGTGAATGCAACGCTGTGTTATTTCACAGCTACTTAGGCCACTGAAAAGGTGTACTTCATTTTCTTTTTAATGGCAAGAAATGCCCCTACTGAGTTTCGTTTTAAGAGAGGAGGTGAGTGGGGTGACAGCAACACGAAAGAAAGAGGCAGGGAGGGGGGAGCCAGCGGAGGTCTAAAGTTCCCCACGGTCCCCCTACCTGCTTCAGATAATCAACATGCAATGAAGTCAATGTGCGCAAAAAGAAGTGGTGTTTCTTGCCAGATCACCAAGATTTGGAGGGAGAGTTGGACGAAATGCATCAGCTTGGCTGTGGACCTTTCTTTTTTTAAAAAAAGGGAAAAAAGGAACTTTTTTTTTAAAATGTTAAAGCTACATTTGTTTAGGCCTCCCATGACTGAACAGAGTATGGGGAGTTGCCCCCTTTTTTGTTTGTTTTTTTTCTTTTTTCTTTTTTTTTTTTAAGCAGCAAGTCTACAGAAAGGTAAATCACTGCGGATGGGCTCGAAGCTCATTCTGGAGTCTTTGGCTTATGTGGGAGAGGTATGCATTCGCAGGTGGCTGATCAGATTGCGCTGCTGGGTAAATTTCCCACCACACAGTTGACATTCGTAAGGTTTTTCTCCTGAGTGGACACGCATATGCTCTGTCAGTCGGTACTGCCGGGTAAAGCGCATCCCGCATTCCTCGCAAGCAAAGGGCTTGAGCCCTAAGTGGCTGCGCATGTGCCGTGTCATGGTGCCCCGCTGCGTGAACATCTTGCCGCAGATGTTGCAAGGGAAGGGCCGCGTCAGCCAGTGAGTCTTCTCATGCTGCCGCAGCGTGGCTGGATCCTTGTAGCTCTTCTCACACACTGAACACTTGAAGGGCCGGGACTCTGCGGCGTAGGACTGGTTGGGATTGGACAAATCCTCGGCTTCATCCTTGCCGCCGTACGTGCCTTCCTCCTTGATGTAAAGGTCTTCCTCGGTGTGCGTCTCCACATGGGCATTGAGCTGCTCGGAGCTGGGGAAGCCTTTGCCGCAGGGGATACAGACATACAGGTTGTCACCGTAGGCCACTGGCTCAAACCCCTCCTGCCGGTAGACATAATTGGCACTAGTATGCCCGCCACTCTCACTCTCGCTCTGGCCGCTGTCGTCACTGTTCTCCTTACCATTTTCCACCTCTTCCTTACATGGGTAGGGTAGGTCTGCACCGTAGGCCCCAGCCAGACTCCGCTCCACGGACTTGGATAAGGGCCCCAGCAGGATACCGTTGGGCAGCCCTTCACTCTCGTCCCTGTCTTTGCCCCCCTCCTTTCGGTCAAAGGCATTGTCTTTCTTGATCCACTCCTTCTTGCGGGATGAGTGCCGGAGGCCCTTGCGCTGGCTGCTCTCCGTCAATGAGTGGTGGCACTCTTCGCTCAGATCCATCTCCATGGGGTCGCTGCTGTCCGCCATGCTGTGAGGGGCTCCGACTCCAGACTCGTCGAACGATGAGGCACTGTTGGCTGCGGGGGCTGAGGCAGATTGGGGAGAGCCATGCTGGCTTTCACTGTGCTGCGTGTCATCGTGGGAGGCTGCAACAGGGAGTGATGGGCTTTTTTTGGACAGGTCGAGGCCTAGCTCCTGGTCGCCGGTGCTCCCATTCGCACTGCTGCCCCCACCGCCATTCTTACTGGCTCCCCTGCTTAAGGAGTGACAGTTCTCTTGGTTGGAGCTGCTGATGAAGACCTCGTCATCGGAGAGCTTTCCCTTTGACAGCTCCTTTGAGTGCGAGCCCTTCAACCCCTCATTTGACCCTGAATAGCGAGCTTGGATGACCGAAGCAGTGGAAAGTCTCTGACTCCTGGCAGATCTCCCAACACCAAGGCCACCGGCCTTGCTAGCAAAGGACTTGCCATTCCGCTTCAGCTTCTTTCTGCAGAGAGCTGCCAGGTCGTGCAGTTGGAGGTAGCTTGCTGCGGTGAGGAGAGCATTAAAGTTCTGTTCACCGGGCTGGTCAGTCGTTAAGAGCTTACCAGTATAAATAAAGTCCAAGATCTGCCGGAACACGGTGGGGTTCACCATGTCCGTGTCTAAGTTAATCAGGTTGTCATGCAGGACAAGGGATTTGAAATACATGCTGCTGGCTGCCAGGATGTTCTTATGGGCACGAAACAGGGCATTTTCTACCACAATGATCACATCACAGAGGAAACCTTTGGCTCGTTGCTGGTTCAGCTGCAGTAGCAGTTGTTTGGCATGATTTGGCAGTTCCATCTCCACCTTCTCTTCCTTTCACCTTCACCTTACCACCTGCAAAACAGGAGGATGAGAGGTGTGAACCTGCTGTTTCCACTTGAACAAGGCTACATTTAATAGACTGGCTTAACACAGGGCAGTCTATGTTAGACTTGACACTGACTAAGGAGCTCTGGGTACATTCAGCCCTGCAAGCTGTGATCCTGCTTAGAATACAGAGAGAAGTATTTCTCATGCTAAGGTTTGATTCAAGTCTTTCAAAAATGAGATTTGTAAATATCTTTTTACAAAAGCAATCATTGGCTGGAATTACTATTCAAAAGATACCAGCAGAAAACAATAGTTAGGTACAGGGGAAAGCTGTTTCCCTCTCCTGACACAAATCTGAAGGGAGAATGGGGAGCAAGAAAAAAAGGAAGAAGAAAGAAGCATCTATTTCACTGCCATTTGCATATCTGAGCATGTAAAATAATAAGCGTAAGCTGCAGCTTCCCTGCTTTAACATGTAGTTTGTTTCTTGGCTCTTACATGTTGAAATCTTACAACACCCAGCTGCTCTGGGGTTGAGAAAATTACATGTAGCAACTAAATCCATTGAAGATGGAATTAATCACACTGAGGTGTGAATGGGAAATCTCCTTAAGAGTACGAAAGGCTGCTTTAAAAACCACCCGCCTGGCAATGTCCATATCCCAATCCATTGACATGAAGGGCTAGAATCAGCCCTGAACTGGCTGAAATTCAGGATGCTGAGCTAGCTAAATGCCACCAAATGTCTTCAACGATCTGAAACTGTTTTCTTAAGTTAATTCTGCCCCGCCTTTAGTTTTGAAGGAATTTTGCTTAAACTGATAGTCAAGTAACCTATCTCAAGTTACAGTCTCTCTACCCTGAAGTACTGAGAAGAGAATAAAATTGTGGTTACCTCTGTGTAGTTCATGTATTTCACAAACAGTATTCACTATGTATTTTAGTTTACATATTTCTATTGGCTTTCCCAGTAGTATGGGCTGTATGAAATACCTAGTTTGAGGCGTATCAGAACTAATTGCAATTTCATGTTTGGTAGATACTACAATACATAAAAACTAGAATTTAAATCAGGGGCTGTGTTCAAGAATCCAAGATAATTTTTTTAACTTTTTTTCTTGAGTTTTTTCTTTGAAAGTGCCAACTACTACTCGTAATGGGCATTTATCTGTTAAAGTTGATTTAAAATAGTTTCTGAGGTTCAAATGTAAGAATTAAATACCAAACATATGACAGCCACCTTTAGCCTTCCACTTCCTTCCTTCCTTTCCCAGTTCATCTTATTATTGAAACAGATTTCTCTTATTGAAGGGGGAGCAGGCCATAAGTCTATAGAAATGAAGAGCTTAAATTTTCTCTTAAAATCATCATCAGTTAATGTTTTTATTGCTTGTGAGTCCCATTACCACATTCTGTCCCATCAGATTTCAAATGATGAAGCATTAGACTGCATTATCTTCCCTTTGTGTCAAGTATGTGTACACAAGAAAAAGAAATGAGGAGTGATACTGTCAATATTAAAAATAACCTCCCTCAAACCTGTAACCACTAACCAGTGATAAATAGAAAGATTTGATTTGGCAGAAAGGTAGTAAATTTACATCATCCATTTCTGCACAACAAAAAGATTTTGCTTTATGAAAAAAGCTACCAAAAAAGTAAACAAATGCAATTTTTCCTCCGATTTTGCTGCCTGACTAGCCTCATACTTACACTTTTACCAACAGATCTGCCAAGCAGGTGCCTCCCTTGTTCCACAGGACACATTTCTTCATTTGGTTAGCTGGTCAGCCTGGTACTTGCTTACACATTTGGTAGAATTTTGTGGCACCTGTTCAGTGCACCAGCACCTAATTCAGCATCCACACAGATCTCAGTGGCTTGTCACCTTGACCCACTGCTAAAATGGCTGCTCTGCTTTTCTGTTCTATATTGTTTCAGCAATGGATGGGAGCCCAAGAAGACGGTGGATTCACCACTGTGCCTTTGTGCACATTAATGTTGTTCCCAGAGGTGGCTGGCTTTAGAAAGGGTGGCAGCCAAAAGGAGGAAATACAGGCTTGCCACGGTGCTAGCCAGCTATTTCTTCGCCATCTATAGTGTTTCTGTCATAGAAACTCACCCTGCAGCATCACAAAAACATGACAGAGACAGGGATTACCACCACTGAACAGTGTTGAGCACTTTAAAAACAAGTTTTGCTGTAACTAGTTACATCAGAGTTGCAGCACGCAGGCAATGTGTCTGGTTCTAGTGGCTTGCTTCCAGAATTGCTGATTAAGAGGAAGAAGCAACAGCACAGAGGCACCAAATATCCACTTTTATCTAGCCAGGCCAGTAAAAGCACTTACTTCTGGGTCACCGAGATATATTGATAGGGAAGGACAAAAACATGGCTTGCAACATAACACAGCATCTATATATATATAAATGCATCCTGCTCAAGAATAGCAAGAGACAGCCTGCTACTACACTATTTTCGCTACAAACATAATGGTGCTTCTCCATGCACATAACACACAAAATCCCTGGATATGATTTTTAATTGTTCCATAAAGGACAAATACGGTAAAGGAAAGGAAACAGCACAGCCAATATTTTTTGCCTAAACAGACTAATAAAAAAAAAAGTATGTTACTGAAGTAAAAGCGAGCTTATTTCCCATTCATGTGGCACTTGAAGCAGAGGTCTAGAAATCTCTGTATACGTGTTTGTCTAAGCCTTTGCAAAGAGTCAAGGCTTGCTGCAGCTACTAATGGGAAATATTTTTCAATTTTAACTTCTGTTTGTTTTTTTCTTTCTGCCTTAAATGATATTGAAACCAGGTAATGAGCCTGCAGGGAAAGCCCTGGAACAGGGGTAGAATTATAGTTCTGCTTTTCACTGACCTTCGTAAGGAAGATAATGTTATTATTAAACCGCAGTATGTTCTGCAGCATAAAAATTAGCATAGTACTAGTTGTTTAAATTACCTTTATTTATCTCACATGTCAAATTTTACAGAAGTATTCATGTTCAGTAGGACATAAGTATGAGGTAGGTTATTACCTTTAGTAGATTTGAAAAGCGGTGATCAGGTATAAGCACTATAACACTGCCTATCAAATTTGAATTTGTTAGCTGAAGCCTAACATGGATTTAGCAACCCCAACAAAATGAATGTAATGGAACAAGGCAGCAAAACCTTCAGCCAAGTTTAGATCCCCATGTTTAAAATTTTGCCAGAATTGCCCACTGAGGGCTTTTGCCAGGACAGCAACATGGGTCAGAGAACACACCTTTGACTGACGTACCTTTGTTGACAAAAGCTTTATAGCATCAACCTGGCTTGTGTATCTTGTGCAGTCCTGAACAAAAATAAATCCATTCCAGGTATTTTCCAGAGCTGACCAGTTACAAACCCTTCTTTAGCAATGATGCATTTCAGAGGTGGGGGAAGAGGGGTGTGTTGGAAAACTTGTTAGCGAAAGAGAAGCAGGCATTATTCCTTAATCTATGGCATTCCTAAGATCTCACTTCTAGCTGAAAGCATGGGACCAAAGACAACTACGAGGTTAAGTCCAGTATAAAAGTTAGCAGATCATCCCAACAAATGGCAGGTGCAGCCTTACAAAGGCCTTGCTATCCATTAGTTTGCAGAGACTGGCTCTTAACAAACCCTGAACATTTGGATAACATCACCAACAACAACAACAACAGCAGCCCCCAAAAGCCCTGAAAAATCACAGTGGTTTATATTTCTTGTATCTCAGTATCATTTTTAAGAACTCTTCATTTCTGTTCTCTGCAAAAAGATAGAAAAAACCATACTCCCAGTTCAGAGGAGCCCTGGCTCAGAAAAGGCTCAGATGCATTTCTAGTAAAAAAACCAAACCCCAGACCTCAAGAATATGTAGATGTCTCACTGGGGCCACAGCCTTTTCTCATTGAATTTGGTGTGCAAAATTTCACTCCTTTGCATTTAAAACAGGATCACAGAAGGCTTTGGACAAATAGCATTAGAGATGGTCTTTTTTCAAATTCAGGTTGCTTCCTAGTCATTCAAGACATATAGTTTTCAGAGCAGTGAACCTGCTCAAATGTTCTTGTGCAAGTAGGGAATGAAGCAAGACTGAGGCTCTCCACTACCTCCACCATGACACTGAGACACAGCACATGCAAAGACATGAAAATACAGGGCACAAATCACAGAATACAGTAATGCTGCAAGCAGGTGCCACACATCAAACAAAGCTTCGCAAGCTAAGAGCTGATAGCGTCTTCATAAGCAATATTGCCCAAGGAGCTGGGTAACTGTGAGCTGCTGTGCCCAGCCTGGGGCACACTGTGATCCTGTGGGCATGAATATTGTGCAGAACACACAGACTGCTCCAGGAGCTGTGCTGCTCTCACTGTAAAGCAGGAAAAACTTAATTTTCTCTCAATTTCCATAAAGACTCTGGATGTCACAGAAAATTAGGTTGCCAAAGTACAGGAGAAGAGGAATCCCTTCACCCCTTTCAATAGTATAAAATCTACATATTCACTACAGATTTGATTCTCTTTAATATCACTAAATCTCTTCCTAAAAGTAATTGCTGAATGAATGCTAAATGTGTTATCTTAGCAACCTCTGGCAGGAGATGCTATTTGATTTCGTCTCTGAGTTATAGATTGCAGCATATGGATATTGTTTACCTTTTAAGAAGCAACACCAGTGAAGCAAAGAATCAATCAAAAACAGATCTAAGGAATCACTCATTTCACGTAGAGGATTTGTGGATGGATGAGAAGGCTAGACACCGAGCACCTGAGCAGTGAACTAACAGTACTGCAGATAAAAACCAACAAAACAGATTAGATGTGATGTATCAAATTTGATGCCGTTAAAGCGTTAGCCTACTGTGCATGTTATAATATACCCAGGAAAAGATAATGGCCTGCTTACTTGTTTCTCCACCTTCCCAAGTAGTTGTGCTGCACTGAGCAGACACTGCAGCAGTGAGCATGGGGAAGAACAAGACAAAATTAAATCAATTATTTCCTACATTGCTCTTTCCCATCAATTTACTTCTGACATTAAAAACGCTGTGTCCAGCTGCTACTGAATCTGGGTGAAACTGAAACGGATGACTTCTGCACCCTTCAGTTTCAGATGAACTAACTTTTTTAGAGCACTTGAAGACCCCACTGGGAAGACAGCTTTCCTGTTGCTCACTGGCTCATCTGATCTTCCTCTCCCCACATCCCAACAGAACCTATTTCCAGGACTCTCCCGAGGTATTGGTGAGGTGGGCTTTCATGGCCACTAACCTTCCCCCCCAGGAGCTGCAGTTGGCAGGTCATTAGCCCATGCCTTGTAAAGGTATTCACATTCCAGAGCAGCAGACACATGGGGAGGAATGCAGGAACTGTGTTAGTCCAAATGGTTCCCTATCCCCAGCCTCTGTGAGCAGGCAGACAGCCAAACTCAGAAACAGAGGCAACATGCATTTTCATCATTGGCAGTGGAGCAGCAAAAGCTCTGTGAGGTGGGCTCCAGCAGAAAACAGGATACAGCACCCTTGTTTTTCTCACAGGAATATCTCTCACTTCAGAATAGGTAAGACCAACGTGTCAAGTTACTCAGGGAGAGGTCTGCAAAGCCTGGGGAAGGGAGAGAAAGCGACATGCAGGACAGAGCAGGATGTGCAGCTGATGTTGCAGGTGTGGACATGGAAAGGAGAAGGAGAATGGAGGATCATTTCACAGAGGACACCACCGCAGCAAACTTAAAGTGGCCCTTGCTTAGTTTGTTACATTCCAATTAGTGCCAGGCAGAACTGCCCTCCCAGCTCCCTGAAGCAGCTCTTGCAGGACTCCCGTAGAAACAGTGTAGCTTTGCTTATGGACACAAGCACCTGTTCGGTACCTCTGTGCGGCAACGTTTGGACATTAGGTACGTGGGCAATACATGCTCAACTGCTACCAGCTCCTGGCCCAAAAAGGAGAGAAGAAAGAGAGTCAGATGATTTCCCCAGTCCCTTCTCTTTCCTGTTCTAGAATAACAAGGAGAGCCTGACATGGCTAGGCCCTTCTCTACCGCATGGCAAACTGCCCAGGGAAGGGGAGTCTCCATGGGTGAAAAGGGTAGGGGCCCTGTGTGCATGAAAGCACTAACATCAGGAGAGCAAAGTGATTTCCAGTCAGTGCAAGGCTGCAGCAAAGCAGGAACACCTTGCTATACAAGCTGAGACTACGAGCAGTAGAATGCAGATTAACCACTTGGTTGCCGCTTACCATGCCAGGTACATTGGGCTAAAGGCACCTCCATCCAGTGCTGCCCGACGTGCCAGGTACATCCCATGATGTTCCATTGAAATCACAACAGGCCATCAATAGAACGTGGCTGCACGGATGCAGAATGGAGAACCAGCAGGGACGCTGTTAAATGCAATTAAAAAACTGCAATCAAAATTGAAACGTACATTTTAAAATGGTCACCTGCCTTAAATATGTAACTACTAGAACAACCTCCCCTCCACCCATCTCCCCAGAACTGCTGAACTGCCACAGAAACAGAGCAGAAGGCCTCTGCAAGTTTCTTGATGACTCTCTCTGGCCACCTCCATTCAGGACTCCCAACGGCACTGAGCTTCGGGGGGACCAGTCCATATACATCCAAGAACAGCAGATCCCAGGATGTCTGCACCAGCTTCCTTCTGCCCAGAAATTCAGGCAACTAAATATCACCATTTAGAAATGCCTCTACAACGAGAAAAGCCTGGCGCCAGAGCTTCATGGTCTCGTTCCCCACACAGTACAGTCAATGGAAGAAACACTTAAATGCTGATCCTCTCTGTTGTCCCCATTTCCCTGTCCCCCTTCCCAAGCCTTTGAAGTCCTGAGATGTTACGGCATTGAGCCAGGCTGGGTCCTTTGGCTTTTGTTACATCTGTGGTGCAAGACGGGAAAAGAAAATACTGTGTACCCTCTCCTATTTATAATGATGCTTCACTGATAATTTAATCTACATTCTTGGAGACTGGAGATCAAGTTCATTCATGGTGAACTGCAGCTGGTATGAGAGTTGCAAAACTGAAGATCTGTAATTCCACCCTTCCCTGCCCAAAGGAAAAAGCAACAACATATTTTCCATGTCAGGGAAAGGCACATCCCACAGACAGACAGCTTGTCAAACCTAGGGTATCCTCTGCAGTGTGTATCCTCCTTCCCCCAGAGTTCCTGTAATCAGCTCTGGCAGGGTTATCAAAGAGGGTAGTCTCAGGGTAGATGCTAAGCACAGGTCCCTATCTACAAGTGGTGATACTCCCCCAGTGGAAAAAAACAAAACAAAAAAACAGAACAGAAATAAGCCTGCAGCCTCGCAGGGATTTAAAATAGGTTTTTAGACCCTCATGGCGAAGTGAAACTTCTGCATAGCTCTTGTCACATTGATGGCTGCATGTCTCCGGCTGGGCTGCTGGAGATAGAAATCTTACATTTAAAAAGTTAGAGGAATATTATCATTTCAACCTTAAAAGATAAAAGGCCAAATGAAAAAGACATATAATAACAAATGTAGTTAGATGGGAGAGAACGTAAAGGAGGACACTGGCCTGGCAAATAGAAAGTGCCTTCATGAAAAGGACACTGAATGTAAGGAGACAGTTCTTCATTCTTCCTAGACATCTGCTGGGCTCAGACCCAGGACAGTGTTCCCATCATTTCCACCTGCATTCTTATCCCCACAATTCTGTAACTAAATCCCTTTCACATTGAACTAATAGGTCTTTTGTATTCAGATCACCCTGTTTTGACTGCTATAGACTGAAGATTTTTAAATCTTATCAATACAATGAAGAAGTGAAATGTAAGCGTTTGCTTACTGACCTGGGCTATGCTGAGCCAAGAGCATTTGCTGAACTAGTCTGAACGGACCACTGCCAGCATGAACAGGCCAACCCACATTTAAATAGTGTGCAACTTTAAGCATAACGGGCCAGAGCCCCAGGGATTTTGAGCTCCCCCCTCTCCAAGAGATCACACACTCTAGACTACATACGAGCAACATACTACTGGCTGCATCTGCCACCATCAGGACTCTGAAAAACACTCAGCAATACCAGCAATACTCAGCTTAAGAAAGGCTGAATGCTGCGTAAAGGTATTTCTTGGACAGGTTTCGAGACAGCAGCTCAAATGCAGATTTACACCCAGATTACAGCAATTTGCTTCTTGCTACAGTGAAGCAAGAATCTCTTCTCCATAGTTTTATTTCCCCTCTAGGGCAGAGATTAGCAGAGAACTGCTTAAAACAAAGGTATTTCCTACTGTTAGAACATCACACTGCAGTCAGAATTGAAGCTTCCTGCCAATTCCTAAACAGAGCCCTTGTATATTATACATTTATTTTCACTGCTGACATGAAGGAGCCTAAGACTACCCAAACCCTTTAGTGGGAGGAGAAGAGAAGAGGCATGGACATTGCAGATCTTGTCAAGCAGAGCCAGGCACTAAAAATTCCTGCATATCTGCAGAGCACAGTTGATCTCAGGAACACAGCAGTGGCACAAAACAAAAAGCCTCAGAAGCTAGTGAGCAGCAATAGATGTTGGGCTTTTCTGCAGCCCTGCAGCAACTGAGCAAGCTCAGCTCCAACTGTACCTGCATTGCAAGTGGTAAAGGCAGCTCTGATGTCCCATGCTAATCTAGTGACTCCTTCTTGCACTAAAGTACCCACATATTCAGTGGCGTAGCTCAGCTCACACAGGAGGAAGGATACCCTCTACCCATCCACCAGTTAAGGCCCCTTTGGTATGCAAAATTCCTCTTTCCCAGCTACCTTTGAGCCTTGATGTATAGAATTCTCCCTTTGCAATGCAAGAATTTAGGACATGACTAAAGGATAGTTGCTACCTCCTAGCTAATCCTAGAGAGTGTTAGGCAGAATCAACAACCCTATGAATTACATGGAGTGAGAAGATGCTTCTGGTCCTAAAAGCTTGGGACCTGTCCTTCAGTGTGGTAGGCCAGAGCTGGTGGAGGATGCACAGGGTGGCAGCTTCATGCTGGGCATTGCTCTGGGGGCAAGAGCACACAGCACTGTGGAGAAGAAGGAACATCATGACCCTTTTCCAACTTTTCACAACTGTCTTAACAGCACCCTCCCAGTTGCAGCACAGCTTTAGGGCTCTGAGTCACCACAGGTACAAGCTGATAGCTGGGTTGTGAAATGCAGCAATACTGGAGCAAATGCACGGCCCTTTCAGCTGTCCCTGCAGCTGGGGAGGGATCTCCAGGACAGGGATGAGGCAGGCAGCTGGGAGTGTTAAATCCACTAGCGATTGTGACTCAGACCCCTTAGTTACAGGGTTTGTTAGAGCAAACAAGGCCTCAAAGTACTGGGAGAAATGGGAGAGAGTTTGATAAAGATCCTCCTGATTGGCCTGCTTATTTTTATTTCTTGTGTGGAGTCAGCAAACTTTTCTGCAGAGAGAAGCAGTCTGCACAGGAGTATCTATGTACAGAATACTGCTAATACTGTGAACTTGTTGCAATAGTTAACACCGAGCTTCATGCTGAGGGTTGCAGGACGAACATGGGTAGTAACAGCCTTGGACTAAAATACCATCTCTCTCACCACATGCCAGATACCACAGAAACAAACTTTGCTGTCTCATTTTCTTCTACAAGACCAAATCTCATTCCCTTATCTCATGCATACCTGCAACTGCAGCAGCAGTTCTCCTTAACATAAATAAACAATACCTTACATACAGCACCTTTTGAGCTTTATCCATCATTTTTTCTTTTTTTGCCAAGAACTGACCATGTACTCAGCCCTATATCTCCCAGAGAAATCTTTGTCTCTAAGCTCCATTCCTGTGAAGCCTTTCAAGCAAACCAGTGTTTAAGAATCGGTCCTGGCAGTATCAAGACTTTACTGCCTGCCAAATGTCCCTCCGAATCAGATGCTTAACTGATCATCCTGAACCCTCCCTCATACATTTGGTTCTTTGCAACCACCAAAAAGTGTTTCTGCAACTCGGAGCCTGGCAAACGAGAGGATGCCAGAAAGCCACTATTGCTTGTAAAAGCAGAAGGACTAACAGACTCAAAGTTTTGCAAACTATCTGCACTGCATCCAAAGCTGTCCAAGCTGAAGATAACCTAAGGGGGAAGCAGGGTTTACTCATTTTCAAAATTCTTCATTTCTTTGGCTGCCTCTCCTCAACCATTGCTTGTCATTTTGACTTGTTTTATTCCTCTGTCTTCCTCACTTGAGACCTCAGACTTACTTTAAACTCAGCTCACAGGCTGCAAGGAGGTCACTCTACTTATGCTTCCAAAATCCACCTCTTCCCAGTAAGGCTCCCATCCTGCCATCCTTATCCTGCAGCACTGCACAACAGTGGTCCAGGGCTGCAGATATCTCATGCACATTTGGCCAGCCTTCTCTGTCAGACAGTTTGTCAGCTTTGGGGATTACAGCCCCAGGTACGTTATGAAAGGCAGCCCAGCAAGGTCATGGGGTGTTGAAAACTTTGCTACAAACCAAAGCAAAGGATCTTCCTCCTTTCCTTCCTACACACTATTCTTGTCAAAGTCAAGGATTTTCTGGCAGTCCTCAAAACACACAAATTATAGGCTCTTGTTATGAATCAAGACTTAAAACATCTCTCCATTTAAAAAAAGTGGAAGGGGAGGAGCGAGGCAGAGGGGAAGGTACTTTTGCCCCAGGTTTGGTTTTGAAAAGGGGATTGGCAGTCTATGCATATGCTTTACCCTGTAATCTGGAAGCTCCTCAGGACAGGACCCCTAGAAGCATTCTATACTGAACTATATACACACCCCACAGCAAAAGAACCACCGGCTCCCTGCATCCGTTCCAGTCTGCTCAGCTTCTCCTAAATCAACACTGCCAGAAGGCAAGACAGCACTATAACAAATTAGCACCACTCACAATTTGTTGAAGTTGCTGTTCCATTGTTTGTTTATTTAAAACGCGCGCGCGACACACACACCTAGAAGCATTCTATACTGAACTATATACACACCCCACAGCAAAAGAACCACCGGCTCCCTGCATCCGTTCCAGTCTGCTCAGCTTCTCCTAAATCAACACTGCCAGAAGGCAAGACAGCACTATAACAAATTAGCACCACTCACAATTTGTTGAAGTTGCTGTTCCATTGTTTGTTTATTTAAAACGCGCGCGCGCACACACACACACACACCTCCCAAGCTTGCTCTCTGCTGCCATCACCCAAACTCCAGATTTGTAGTCTCAGAGAGAGAGGCAAGCAAAGGCTGTGGATTAAACCCATGCAGAGCAACAGTCACTGCACTGGGTCTCTGCCTGGGTTTTGCTCTTTCACTACAAGCAAAACAAAAGAATGCCCACACTGTTCCAGCCTGGAAGATCAAGGTGTCGAAATCCT